TGTATGTTTCTTAAAAATATCTATACCTATTTTAAATTAAAATTACAAATTACAAATTCATACTATTTTAAATTTTGATTCTTTAGGTTTAAAGATAATAATAGGTAGAAATAAAAAATGCCTTGTAATTTTTTTTGTTACAATTTATAAAAACTTTAACTTTAAGACAAATCATTTTTTTGATTGTTTGAACTTGATTACTTTAGTCATTCTAACAATTAAACGGCATATAATATCCATTTATTCTATATAAGCTCTAATGATTTTAGTAGGTAGGTATTTAGAAAATATATATCGTAGGTAGAAATTTAAAATATTTTAGTATAAATTATATCATTATTTAAAAACTTTTAAATATTTGATTTTATAACTATGAATCTCAAACATTTTATACAAAAGTCAAGGCTCATAAGTTTTTCTTATAGAAACTTAAACATCTGTAAAATATATTTACACAGATTTATTTTACCAATAGACATTTCAAGTTCAAATTTTGACGAAAWTGGATATTTAAATTTTAAACAAAGTATAATAGTTTCAGCTATTTTTATCGTCATTCATAAAATATTATTTGGAAGGACTTGATACTACCTACTTGATCAAACGATATATCGGATCATGGGTTTATTAATACTTATTAGGTATATAACTATTAAAATACACAATTAAATATTTATACTATTACATTAACAACATATTTCGATTAGGTTGTTTTAAGCTATTATTCACACCGTTTTACAGTGTACATCGGTGTTGATTTATTCCATATTGTATATAATATATAGCTAGTTATAATSTAAATGAAATAGTGTTATTATAATAATAATTACTAGGCATGAAACATGTTAGGTATGCCATTTAATTATGGTTAACATCAGTACAATCTATTATTTATTAATAATATAAAAATGTAATTTATTAATAATATAAGTAGCAATATAAAAATATGAATAATATAAAAACTGTAGAATGATATAGGCCGACACGCTGTMTTTGTTTAGAATCGTTTTCCGTAGGTTTGGAATGCTATCAACGTTGAATTCAGATTTAACACATCGATTACATTGACCTACTTAGAGATGAGGAATACTCGAGACCTAATATACAGCAGGCCGATGTCATATTCCCTGGTTTTATTATTTTTTATTATTAATCAATTTACAACGTTGCCTCATAGTTCATAGACCATTAGCTTCTATTTTACACTATTACACTTACATAATATTTACACGAGTTATTAATCCATGTTCTTGATTATATATTCTCCTTATCACAAACTTTTCCATATTTTTTTTTATGRGACTATTGTTCATTGTTAAAGTACTTAGATATAATAATAGTTTTGTAGTAGGTATGTATGTATACTATAATAAATTAATAATCACCGTAATAAATCTGAATTCAACGTGAAACCATGGTATAATATGAAATACGATTCWGACAGAATAATAGACAGTGTCAGCCTCTATCTTTAAAGATATTTTATAAAATTTTGTTCATTACTTACTATTTACTACAATGTATTATAMCTTATAGCTGTGAACTTAAATGTATTATTACTTATTATTATTATTATTCTATTAGCGTACTTACATCGGTATAGATTAAATTTAAACTTTTCGACAGAACTATCGTTAATACGGTATACGTATATTATTAATCATGGCATAATATTTGATAACGTATTATTACAGTTATTAACTTGGAAGTCAATCCCGRTTTAATACAGAATGATTTAAATAAGTTTAAAGTTTACCTATATTTTAGTATTTTATAACAAAATAAATAATTGGTTATTTTAAATAGTTAAACTAAAGATTTTATGTCTGAATAATCTAATTTCCTCATCTTAGTTTGAATTTAAATTTCTGTAAGATAAAAATATGATAAACTTTGTTTCAAATTTTCAACGTTTAACCTTAAAATAATTTGGAATAATTCATGGTTTTTATGAATTTGGTCAATTTGAAGTTTAAACATAAAACTTTTCAAATACAAAATATGAGAAAGTCGATAAGAATAGTTTTCTAGCCTATTTATAAATAAAMATTTTTATGGATAAGTACTTACAATATTCAAATATTTCTCGTACCATTATAAAATACTTACTTCAATTCATAGGTACCTATGATAATWATTATTAATATTATCAATTTACAAATGTAATCTTGTTTATCTTAGATTTAGTGCTTTCAGCTTTGAACTTACTTARTTTTAAAAGTTGAAATATTACATAGATGAATAATCATACGATGCTATGACAGATTATTTATTTAATAAATATTAGGTACTATTTCAATATTTAAACAATTAGTCACAAATTTTAGAATTATATGAAACATATTATACAATAAAATGGACGTGTAATTTTGTAATAAATATAAGACAATATTCTAAGATTAATTATTTAGATTGTAGTTCAAGCAATTTTGTAAGTTAATAATTAAATGTGAACGTGACGCTCTGTTGTAAAAAGGTTACGAGTACTTGCTTTAATGAACGGTGTTAAATTTGAATTCAATAACAATATATTATATAATTATATTATACAAAAAACGATTCTGAGTAGAGACGGAATGACAGCTAATAATATTTTATATTATTGATATACGGTAGATTAGCGGTAAATTGAATTAATATTATTTGCATATTATCATATTTCAATATTTTTATGTAATAATATAATTTAGAAGTTACAAAAAAATATTTTAAAATTATAATAAAATTGTAAACGTACCTAATTTATAGTTATTTGTCTTTGAATTACAATACGAAAATAAAATATTGTTTCATGAGAAACTGAATGAAGATTCAACATTGTAAAAATTTGAATTTCAAACGCTCATAAAAATATGTTCTTTCCGGTAGACATTTTTTTT